CAACTTGCCACACACAGATGGTTCCGCTATAAGACTTAGAGTGAGTATGATAATCTTATCATTGACAAAGATTGTTCAGATTCAGACAAAGAAATACGTGCCTTTATAATTTATTATCCAACTTCATTCATTTGATCATGAGTGGAAGTAGAGGGCGCGGCTGCCTAATGATTAGCCTGTTGGACTCCAGATTGTGTGGTCCGGTTTCGAGCGCTGGCCGGGATCATTGTGTTGTGTCTTGGGGCAAGACACTTCACTCTCACGGCGCTTCTTTAATCGGTACCGGAGAATTGCCAAGGCACCTGACAAAATGCTGGGAGGTAACCTGCGATGGACTAGCATTCCATCCTGCGAAGTAGCGGTACTCCTAGACACTTCATGCTACGGAAACCAGGATACGTGGTACACTTATGGTAGAAGGTTGTTAATCCTGTAGTTAACTCTCATTTCAGATCAACTCAACACGTCCAACCATGCTCAGTGTGTTTGTGCGATATGGACAGCGGCCAACAGTCACAGAATATGATGCAATGAAGAAAATCCCGGATGAGTCGTGCTCCCTGTCTTCCCAGAATTCTCATGGCAACTGTGGCGAAGAAGCGTACGATATCGTCCTGTTCCATGAGCTGCTAAGTAACCCTGGGACATACTATATTGGCATGCTGTACGAAAAGGACGACGAAGCACCCCAGACACGCAAGAAACGATCATGTTTCGGGCAGGGCCGACAGAAACGATCATGTGTAGAGTTTAAAGATCCTCCAAGACCCGAGAACATAACGGTGAAGCCAGTTTATGACCCAAGGACAGACCTGAATTACACCATGAGTGTCCTGGAGGAAGGATGTCTGTTTTGGGACAGCAGAAAGGAGCGCTGGTTATCAAGAGGATGTAGAGTAAGCTTATTATGGAAAAACAATGTTTTTCTCTTTTCTCCCTTTTGTCAGTTTGTTTCCTCTCCTTGTTTCTCTCTTTTGTGAAGACATGCAAACGAGGCACGCGTTAAATGACTCGTTTGCATGTCATTTTACAAGCTGACTATTATTAGTACTAATTTTGCAAGGTTGCGACGAATTTGCCAGGAATAAATTTAAACTTGCAAAACACAAATGATCGGTTTATTTGTTTCCTTCCTAAATCTAAAATATCTGTATGCCTGTTAATGTTACGTTCCTGGAGCCTATTAGTTTCGAATGCTTCTTACAAATTCTCTAGCTAGGGCTGGTGTTTCGGCACTAAACAACAACCAACATCACCGGTAGCTTAAAGGAGCTATGTCAGGGTATATTTTGAGTCATTTTTGCCAAGTGCAAAATCACCTTCAAATTGACGAAAGCCTCAAAATAACAGTTTACTAAGGTAGAAAAAGAGGTAATAAGAAACCATACAGGAACAAGGATGGTTGAGGATGGAGAAGATTAAGACGGATTGCGAACGGCGAACTTGAAAAATTGGCCAATTTTTTCAAGATGCGCCAACCGTGACGTAGCTCCTTTAAAATATTGAAAGGCCGGAGTACTCTACTTGCTCAAACCTCTTCAGTTTAAATGGAGGAAATGCATAGATAGATATGGTCGCTCAATTTATGAACTAAAAACCTTTTCAACTCTAACTTAACTTATAGAGAACAATTACAAAAGGTATTTGTTGTGGTTCCTAGCTCAGGGTATAGTGATGTTTATGAGGTTCTCGAAAAGTGTCTTACTAATTATTTGCTTTTCAAAGGTAGGACAAAGGTCTAATTCAACATCCTTGCATTGCCTGTGTAACCACCTGACGTCATTTGGTGGAGGAGTCTTGGTGATGCCAAACACGCTGGATTTTGATGTTGTCTTCAATGAACTCACTCGGCTCGACCAGACTAACAATATTGCTGTCCTTAGCGCTATAATCGTTGTATTGCTGTTGTATTTACTAGTGGTGATATTTGCAAGAAGAGCTGACAAACGAGATAAAGCTAAGGTAGGGTTAAGGATTTTGTCAAGTCGCAAAGAGTTCCATGTCATGTAAAGACTTTTTTCTAACTGTTTTACATCATTGTCACATTCACAAATAAAATTACCTTCAAATCAAAGGAAATTTCGAAATATGGGAAGATTAAGACGGATTTGAAATGAGCCAAAATGGACGGAAAATTTTAATAGTTTACCAAGGGTGAAAATCACCAAAGAGGTAATAAACTAAAAAGGAACAAGGATGGTTAAGATTGGAGAAGATTAAGACGGATTTCGAATGATGGATTTGAAAAAGTTTAGGCTCAATTTTCCCGCATGATGCAGCATCCGTCCCATCTGGGATTAGAAATTATACTTGAATCAGTGTTTAGAGTTATAATCCTCTGATTCTCAATTTAATGACACTAGTTCAGAAAGCCTGTGTTTCATCCTCGGGATTATTGACTTCATGTAAAAGAGCATTGAAAATATATGATCTTGTGAAATTTAAGACGTTCGTATGGAGAAGGACAACCCATCTTTTCCAGCGTCGTTGTTGTGTTTTTGACGAACTGAATAAAGTACACAATAGGTCTTCAAAGTTAAGAGAGTAACCTTTCCCCACAATTTGTTTCGCCTGTGCCTGCAGCTTAACCTGAATGAAAGAACCTTATACTTTGTGTTTTATTCCATTTCTTTAGAGCGGCCCGGCTTACCATTTACTCTCATCCCAAGAAGCCAGCTTTGAGTACGATCTGACAGTGGTCACTGGCGTATGGAAGGGGTCTGGGACGGATGCCAATGTTGCCATCGTCATTCATGGAAGCGAGGCGGAAAGTCAACCCATAATATTAAACAAAAACATGATCAACTCGAGAACGGTGTTGGCGCGTGGAAACGAGGATACGTTCGTGATTCATCTGCCGATGTCATTGGGTGAAGTTCAATACATCCATGTATGGCATGACAACTCAGGAAAACATCCTTCGTGGTTTTTTGGCCACGCAGTTATCAAGGACCGTCAAACAGGGGGAAAATGGACTTTTTTGAGCAACAGTTGGTTTGCTTTGGAGAAAGGCGACGGGAAAATCGACAGGCTTCTAACTCCTATCTCTCCACTGGAGATGAAAACGTTCAAATATTCGTTAAATTCGCGAGGTTCTAAGAGTTTTTCCGAAGGACATTTGTGGCTGTCGGTCATCACAAAACCACCATGGAGTAAATTCACACGGGTCCAAAGAACTACTTCTTGTCTGTGTCTACTAATGTCTGCCATGTTAGCAAACGCCATGTTTTACAGGACAGACAAGGTAGCCGATCCCACCATACAAATTGGCCCGTTAAAGTTCAGTTGGAGGCAGATTGTGGTCGGACTCGAGAGTGCTGTGATAGTTACACCAATAAACTTGTTAATTGTGGCATTATTCAAGAACAGTGCCGATAAATCTTCAAATAAAGTTGACACGACAAAGACAGAAAATAAACCTGCTCGTGGTCGACGCCGTACGTATTCCTGTATGGGCTGCACAGAGAACAGTAACGATGTTGACAACGAATCAAACGAAAATAGTTCCTTTTGGACGAGAACGCTACGTCGGCTTCGCGCCAGTAGCAAAAAGAGCTTCATGTTTCCTCACTTTTGTATATACATCGCTTGGTTTCTGAGCTTTGCTACTGTATCTGTATCTGCTATGTTTACTTTTTTCTACAGCTTGCAGTGGGGAAAGGATATCGCCAACCAGTGGTTATCCTCCATGCTGGTGTCCTTCACAGAAGACCTGTTTGTTCTACAACCGATCAAGATATTGCTTATTATGGTTGTAACCGCGTATTTCTTTAGCAATAAAGAAGCTGAAGTTATCAACCATCAGGTGAAAACTGACCGGAAATTATTCGAAAGCACAGAAGTTGCCGGCGACACTCAGAGTATTAAAGTTGACATGCCGCATGAAGATGAGCTCCAACGCGCAAGAGAGTACAGAGTCAAGGAAGCAAAAATGTTCTCGTTTGTCAGAGAGCTGGTTGGCTATCTCTTGTTCCTCTTGTTACTGACGATTGTTTGTTATGGTAATAAAAGTTATCACGGATATCTCATGACTAAGAATATTCAAGACACCTTCAGTGACTTTTCTCTGGTAAGTATCGATATTTCACGGCGGTTGTCAATTGAGCATCGAAAGTAACTCCGGAACAGCTTTTTTAAAGTTTTTAAACTTTATTACGCTCAGTATTTGGTTTAAAAAAATACTTCCCCCCCCCCCCCCCCCCCCCCCCCCCCCCCCCTATTTTCTCTCACTCTATAGCCTGACTCGTCCCCAGTCGTCTCTCTTGTCTCCTTTGTTGGGAGTCGCAAGCTTTAAATATTAATAGGAGACAAGAGAGACGACTGGGGACGAGTCAGCTCTATAGCTAAATCCCATAAAGCAGACAACGATTAAAGGAGCTACGTCACGGATGGCGCATCTTGTTTTTCAAGTCCGTCTTAATCTTCCTCAGTCTTAACCACCCTTGTTCCTTTTTGGTTTATTATTACTTCTTTGGTGTTTTTCTACCTTAGTAAACTATTATTTCGAGGTTTCCTTCAATTCGAAAGTAATTTTGTTCATCACAAAAATTACTTAAAATATCGTGACACAGGTATATACTGCATGGTAGAACAACATATTATATATAGTCACTTTGTACATGCAGCATATACCATGACATAGCTCCTTTAAATCGTCCCATGGGTGTCCGTTGTCCGTTTTTTGTATTTCAAGTAAAATACCTGATATATGATGTGGTTTTTGGTCTCCAGGCTAAAGATCCAAGGTATTATTGGAAGTGGCTGAATGGTCAGTTTGTGGGCGGTATTTACGCTAGTGAGTGGTACAACAAAGACAGAGTGAAAGAACAAGAGTACATCGATAATAAAATGTCAATTTTCCTGGGAATGCCTCGTCTGAGACAACTCAGAATACAGAAAGGTTAGTTTTCATATGTATGGTAAGAAATTTGATGAATTTTAAGCTTGGTAGTAACACAATTCAGTCAGTGACACAAACTACTCGGAAAACGAATTCCGAGTTCTTCCAACAGGGGTCGAACCTATGACCTTCAGCACACCGGTCGGACGCTCTACCACTGAGCTGCAGCTCTAACGAGTCTCCTGTAGCTCAATCGTAAAGCGTCCAACCGGTGTGCGGAAGGTCATAGGTTCAACTCCTGTTGGGAGAACTCGGAATCTTTTTCCGAGTAGCTTGTGTCACTGACTGAAAAATATTTTTCCGTTAGTTCAATTCAAAGTCCAATTTGAAGTAATTTGGAATTGATTCAAATTCCGAGAGACCGTACTGGAACAAGAAAACGTCCCCATGAAAAACTGAGCTTAATGCCGAGTGTTTCACATTCCCACATCAAACAAACAGCTTGTTCACACAAGTTATAAGCAAAAAAATTGATGTGTGGGACAATCATGGTTCGTGGGACTCCGGTTCGAGCGGTTTGCCTTCGAGCGCTGGCAGGGGCATTGGGTCGTGTTCTTGGGTAGGCACAAATTCTCACAGTGCCTCTCTCCATCCAGGAGTATAAATGGATACCGGCGATCTGTTAGGGAAACCTGACGAAATGCTGGGGGATAATTAATCTGTGATGGACTTGCATCCCATCCAGGGGAGTAGCTATACTCCTAGTCGGCTTCATGCTACGGAATCCGCAGAATCCGGGATTAGCTCCGCAGCGTGGACCAGTTTGGTCCAAGTGCGGCTTTTAACATATGTTCATTGTCGCCGGACTGACATCTTTTAAATTTGTTAACACTAGTGTTGGATTTGCTAATGGCTGACACAAAGGAACCTTTCCAAACAGCGTATCACATCAAGAAAGAGTTCTGCTATACAAGAACTGTAGCCTGCAATGCAGGCGGTTTGTGGGCTTGCGATTGTTTATTTCCTTCGAGTGTTTAGCCGCCATCTTGGATTCGCAAAACGTGGAGAGTTGGGGCGAGTGAAAGAGGGCGAGGAAGGGAGCCCCAAGCCTCCAATGTTTTCCTAATCCAAGATGGCGACTTATAAACACTCGATGGAATATTCAGCGCTCGCTCGCCCAAAATACGCCTATTTTGTAGGCTACAAGAACTGTCACAGTTGCTTACCAAATGTACATTTTAAAAAAATACAATGTTACTTGTTCATTTTGTTTTAGATTCTTGTACCGTTCCGGAGGAGGCTCAAGACGTAATAAAGCATTGCAACGACTTCTACAGCCTCGACGAAGAGGACAGAACCCCCTTAAACCTGCCAGGCTGGACGCCATATACCGGCTCTGTTGACTGGGCCAATTTTTCTGACCTCTGCCCGGCACCATGGCGATACGTGCCAACCGAGAATCTCCACAACTCACCAAGCTGGGGTTACTTTGATATTTATGACGGAGGTGGTTACGTTGCAGATTTAGGATACAGCATCAACACTGCTAAGACAGTCATTTCTAATTTACGTAAACACCGTTGGATCGATATCCAGACCCGGGCTGTGCTGCTTGAGTTCACTGTTTACAATGCCAATACAGGCTACCTCAGTATCGCAACGTACTACTACGAAATATTACCCACAGGTTACGGCAATCCTTTCACAAAGATCGACACGCTTCTGCTAACGAGCACTCAAACCGGTTTTTACCAGTTTTACCTGATTTGTCAGTTATTGTTTATCATCATGGTGGTCTTCTTTGTTCTGCGAGAGGTGTACAAGATCTATAGAAAGAAATGCACTTATTTTCGAGATGTGTGGAACTGGGTCGAAATTTTACAAATAATTTTTTCTTTCTTAGTAGTAGTATTCTATGTTATAAAATCAAAGATGGTTCTAAAAAGCGCTTTAAAAGTGCAGGAAACCCTTTTGTTCCGGTCAGTTTTGGAGAGGCGATCACATGGAACCATGCGGAGAACGCTGTTTTAGCAATCACGGTTTTCATTGCAACTGTGAAACTTCTGCGCATGATCCGTTTTAACCCTCACGTCAGCATTATGATGTCATCATTTCGCGAGTCTAAAGGATTACTTCTGTCTTATTCTGTCATTTTTGTTATTATTATTTTCCTGTCGTACGCTCAGTTGGCCAGTTGGCATTTGGTAGCGACATGCAGAGTTATTCCTCATTTCAAAGTACATTGTTCTCCGAACTTCTCATGTGTCTTGGCGGCAAAATGAATTTGACCGAGTTGTTGAGAGTAAATCGTATTCTCGGCCCCTGTTTGGATTTTCCTTTCTTTTGCTGATGTTTTTCATCTTCGTCAACTTTTTGTGGCAATTTTGAACGATTCTTACGAGAACGTCAAAAATAACACAGATAAACAATCCGAGGAATTTGAAATGGCTGACTTTATTCTCGATAGGCTGAGCGAACTATTGGGAATCAAAAAACAAAGTCAACAAGAAAGAGATAATGAAGCAAGCACTGTTCATTCAGTTGGGAATAACGGTGATAACGACGACCAAGAATTGCTCGAGCAACAAAGGTCAGAAGAATCTAACTCAAAACAAACAGTTACCTTTGCAACTTTACCAGTCTATTCTCGCAGACTTCGCCGTATAGCAAAACGAAAACAACTGCGAGATTCGAAATGTTTGCGGAAGAATGAAATAGAAACAAAGTTGCAGGCAGCTAGGTTGGATCAGGAGCAACTTGCTGGTGCAAAATCGTCCAAAAGAAAATTCCAAAAAGTGAAGTTGGTTGTGTCAAGTATATTCGCGTTAGATTCGTTCTCTCAAGAGCAGATGTTTAAGAGAATGGATGTCTTGACCAGGAAGGCTGAAAAGGACGAAATCAGGCAAGATATTTTACTTCTTTCTCTCATCCGGCTTTTACAAAACAAGAAAAACACAGAAGTTTTTATCCCCGAAGCAACCTCCACATTATTGGATGATATTGAAATGGCTTCTTTGGTGACAGCTTCTTCTTTGTTGATTAGCAACATTGACACGGAGAGAAGCAGTGAATCAGGAGATGATTCAGACGACGAAATATTAGAATTTCTTCGATACAGAGCATCAGTCCGTCCGTTACCGTATCACTTGAGAGGAAAAGACCTTCAGGAACAGCTTCAATCGATTCTAGCAACGATAAGGACTCCGGCGACAAGACGAAAAGCTTCCGACTCCGCTGTTTCAAGTATTACTCGTTCTTTTAAATTTAATAGCGGCAGATAGTTGGAAATGAATAGCGTTTCTGGAAAATCCTCGTAAAAGCCGGACCGAAGAGTTTAAAAACTCTGTTTTTTAGATACCTTTTAGAGTTAGATAAAAATTGCCATATTTGTAGTTTATAGTTGTTGTTTTTTCGATATGTAACTTTATAAATAGTCTAAAATATTTACAATTTAAAAGAAAGAAAAAATATTCAAATCATATAAGCACACTTATTTATGTACATATTTTATATTATTTACTACACATAGGTTTACATAGCCTGCGTGCAGAGGTCTCCTATTTCCTTGCTTCACGCTTTTCCGCGTGAAGCAAGGAAATAGGAGACCTCTGCACGCCGGCTAAGGTTTACACCAGCTGTGATTCTTTTTTTCTCAGCTGATCTATGCAGTATAAATAAAGCTTTTCTTATCATTATTATTATTATTATTAGTTTTCTATTCTCGTTATCCAATCAGAATGTCACAGAAACTAGCTCCGACAGTTGTCACGTCTTGTTGCTTAGCAACACCCCTGACGAATACCGCGGGTTCAATTAATTTACCGAAGCTGAGTATTTCGATACTAACTTCCTTGTAGTTAACTTATGATGCTAAATAATAATAAAAATATTCCAAAAACTAAATTCTACTTATTAAGTTTCGTAAAGTTACAAATATCTTATACACGAGCTCTGACGTCATGTTTTAACGGGCCGTCCCAAAATCCCATATAAAAGTGACGGGAGTAATCGTCGTAAATGTTAAATGGACTTCTAAAAGGTACCAAAATGTCGTTTTGTGTGTGTGGTTCGAATTCATGTTCAGCCCTAAGAGGTAGCAATTCTATCTGATAAGACGTTCCTGTCATTTTTTTGTTTCGGCTTGATACAAAATCTGGTGCCGGGATACCTCTAACGATGGCCATTTTAGATGTAAACACCCTAAGCGGTACCAAGCCACGAGTTTTAACCCCTAAAAGGTACGACGATCACCCCTGTCACTTTTAAATGGGATTCCTCCCTTGGAACCTGATCACGTGATGCAAAAAATTGATCATGTGGTACAACCAAACACACCACGTGATGCATGTTCCGGTCACCGTGAAGAGGAAAAAACACTGAACAAAATATTGGGTAGTATTTGAACAACATGTGTTCTCCTTCATGGAAGCGTAAATGTTTACGACCCGACCCGGTGTCGCGTGTGTATTCGATTGCGTTACTGAACTTTTAGAAACGTCACAGAAACTAACCTCAACCGTTGCGTCCTTCAAAGTTTAAATTATTAAAGAGAAAGGGATCTTCGAACTGGTTGTGTCGCTACGTATGCAGCTCCAAAGAAAGCTGAAAAAATGATTTGCAGCCGCATAAGATCTGCATTATCGCATATTCATCATTTCTAACGTAGAACTCGTAATTGCCAGGTCCCATTTACATCCAAATTGATACGAGTTGATGTCCCCCTCCCTCCCTCCCCCTTGGGTTTTGTTATTATGAGACACATCGAAATCATTATACCTTTTGTAGATAGCGGTTGCCATGCAGACAAACACGGCGTTGTCACATCAAAATGAAAGTTTTAGCATCCCAGAGTAAATCCTCTTTTTTAAATTGTGAAAAATACTTCATGGTGGGGGTGGCATCCAGACTTTCTTTCGTGGACCAAGAACTTGAAATTGAAGTTCACTTGAACATGAGATAGCAAATGCTCTTAAACAACTCCTGGCATGCTTTGAAATCATAACGCCGACACCCTTTGCCTGTATCGAGATATAATTGGAAGCAAAGCAAGAGTCCCTTTCCTTACACGAAATATGTTTCATTATGGTTAATTTGTGACTACAGTATGTGGTCCTAATTCCGGCCAGAAAAGACACGAACGTGTAATTCTCGCATTGGAGGAACTGCCTTGAGTTGAAACTTGACCTGTGACTTGTCACAACATTTACCTAGCATATGTAAAGACAACAGCTTGTGTT